TGTTGGTATCTAATGCTTACTATCATTCATTCTATAATCTATTGATGTTTATGTTATCTTTTAAGTTGCCTTGGATACATTGTTGGTATATAGTTCACTTGTGTTGCTCAATATGTGAGGCATGTGTTGACCACTGTAATACATTAACACAATTAATATTCATTGGATTTCGCTTGATAGCATAAGTTCAAGTCACCTGGCTTCATGGGTTTGAAGTGAAGTGTGCCATTAGAGAAGCTTTGATGATGACATCTAGGGTACAAAGATAATGGTAAAAAAGGAATGCACTTGAAGTGGTGAATTGTTTGAATGATGAGGTAATCATGTTCTTTTGTGATTGAATTGTTGAATGGGGACTTGTCTATAACTCAAGACTTCATTTTTCTAACGTTCTATTTTCCCTCTTAATCTGAGATTTAACCAGGTACACATGGCATATGATTCGTTGATATAATCAAAATGATTTGTGACCCAATTTTGTGCCCAAATCATGCTAAACATGTCCTAATGACACTACAAGAATTTTCAATTTTGGCGACTAAATTTTTAGTCAGCAAAAGTCAATTTTTAGTCGCCAAAGGGTTTTAGCGACTAAATTTTTTTGTCGCAAAATTAGTAGCCGAAGAGTAGTCCGGAAAGCTAATTGGCGACTAAAAATTTTAGTCGCCAAATGTATTCATTAAATTAAATTAAATATTTGCCGACTAAATATTTAGTCGCCAAAAGGTTGGACATTAAATTAAATTATACCCTTCTCGACAACCAAACTTTTAGTCGCCTAAAGTCCCACCTTTTTAGCTACTAAAATTTAGTTGGCAAAGAGTTCTTTTTTGGCTACTAAAAAATTAGTCGTCAAAAGTCCCCATCTTTGGCTACTAATTGTTTAGTCGGCAAAGAGTTCCTCTTTTGGCTACTAAATATTTGGTCGCCTAAAGTTTTACATTTTTTGGCTACTAAAATTTTAGTCGGCAAAAGTGTGTTTATAATTTAATTTTTTTTTTTTTAGCTACGAAATATTTTCATCGCCAAACGTTTGATTTTCTTTTGGCTACTAAAGTTTTAGTCGCCAAATGTCTATTTATTTATTTTTATTTTTTTTGGCTACTAAACTTTTAGTCACTAAATGTCTTTTTTTTTTTTTGGCTACAAAACTTTTCGTCGCCAAATGTCTTCTTTTTTTTTTTTGGTTACAAAACTTTTAGTCGCCAAATGTCTTTTCCCAATTTCTTTTTAGCTACTAATTATTTAGTCGCCAAAAACATGATATTATGTTTTATCGCAAAATTATAATTTCTCCACAACCTGTCTATATACAATGCAACCTGTAATACATATAAAAACAAAATAATACATACTATCAATAATTCCACAATCTGCATCCATATACCAAAAATAAATAACATTAAATAACATTAAATATCAAAGTCCATACAAATCAACTATTATCCAAACTAAAATAATAATTCCATACAAAATATATCATACAAAAATTAAAGCCCTCTGTATACAAAAAAATACATTTACTACCAAGCAAAATTACCATTTGGCATGGCACAAATTACTATCGTAATCTGAGGACGACAAAAGTATTATATTAGTTCTACATAAAAGTGAAAATTCTTCTCCATACACCATTATGGATTATCCAAAAGTCCACGCAACAAAGCCATCTACAAAGAAAAACAAAAAATGAAACATTAGAATTGGTTACAAAATATCAATTCAGTCAGCCATATGGAACATGTTCTAACATGCATTTAAGGTAGAACAATCAAGAAATGTCTTCTTGGAAATAAAAGAAAGTATATAGATATGTATCATGTAATATTTATTCCAACCAACTGCACAAACAATGTAATATGTAATTTCTTCGTCCTATAAATATATAAAGGCAATTATTAGAATATGTAGATGTTATTTTAATAAAGTTGTTGCATTTTTAACTAATTGTTGCAAGTTTTTCAACTAAGTGTAAGGTGTATTCGGGGGCTGTTATGAATTTTTGCCCCCAGAAAACTCTTTTTCGAGTAAGTTTAGGGCGTATTCGGCTCTAACTCCCAACCTACGGGTCCGAATTATGTTCCGTTAGTTCTCACAAGTCCTATTTGTCATGGGAGAACTGTCTGTGTGAGCCACACGGTGGTTCGGGGGCTGTTATGGATTTTAGCCACCAGAAAGTCCTTTTTTGACTAAGTTTAGGACGTATTTGGCTCTAACTCCCAACCTACGGGTTCGGATTACGTTCCGTCAGTTGTCGCAAGTCCTATTTGTCATGGGGGAACTGTCCGTGTGAGCCACACGGTGGTTCGGGGGTTGTTTTGAATTTTCGCCTCTAAAACGCCCTTTTTCGACTAAGTTTAGGGCGTACTCGGCTCTAACTCCCAACCTACGGCTCCGAATTATGTTCTATTAGTTCTCATAAGCCCTATTTGTCATAGCAAAGCTATCCGTGTGAGCCACATAGTCGTTTGGGGGCTGTTTTGAATTTTTGCCCCCAGAAAGCCCTTTTTTGACTAAGTTTAGGGCATATTCGGCCCTAACTGCCAACCTACGGGTCCAAATTGCGTTCAGTTAGTTCTCAAAAGTCCTATTTTTCATGGGGGAACTGTCCGTGTGAGCCACACGGTGGTTCGGGGGTTGTTATGAATTTTCACCACCGGAAAATCCTTTTTCAACTAAGTTTAGGACGTATTCGGCTCCAACTCCCAACCTACGGGTCCGAATTACGTTATGTCAATTGTCACAAGTCCTATTTGTCATGGAGAAGCTATCTGTGCAAGCCACACAGTCGTTCGGTGGCTGTTTTGAATTTTCACCTCTGAAACGCCCTTTTTCGACTAAGTTTACGGCGTACTCGGCTCTAACTCCCAACCTACGGGTCCAAATTACGTTCCGTCAATTCTCACAAGTCCTATTTGTCACGGCGAAGCTATCCGTGTGAGCCACACGGTGGTTCGGGGGCTGTTTTGAATTTTCGTTCCCGAAACGCCATTTTTCAACTAAGTTTAGGGCGTACTTGGCTCTAACACCCAACCTATGGGTTCGAATTACGTTGCATCAGTACTCATAAGTCCTATTTGTCATGGCGTAGCTATCTGTGTGAGCCGCAAGGTCGTTCGGGGGCTGTTTTGAATTTTCGCCCCCGAAACGCCCTTTTTCGACTAAGTTTAGGGCGTATTCGGCTCTAACTCCCAACCTACGAATCCGAATTACATTCCGTTAGTTCTTGCAAGTCCTATTTGTCATGGAGAAGTTATCCGTGTGAGCCACACAGTCGTTCGGGGGCTGTTTTGAATTTTCACCCTCGAAACGCCCTTTTTCTACTAAGTTTAGGGCGTACTTGGCTCTAACTCCCAACCTACGGGTTTGAGTTACGTTCCGTCAGTACTCACAAGTCCTATTTGTCATGGCGTAGCTATCCGTGTGAGCCATACGGTTGTTCGAGGGCTGTTTTGAATTTTCGCCTCCGAAACGCCATTTTTCGACTAAGTTTAAGGCGTATTCGACTCTAACGCCCAACCTACGGGTCCGAATTACGTTCCGTTAGTTCTCACAAGTCCTATTTGTCACGGTGAAGCTATCCGTGTGAGCCACACGGTGGTTCAACAGCTATTTTGAATTTTCGCCCTCGAAACGCCCTTTTTTGACTATCTTTAAGGCTAATTCGACCACATATTAGGGAAGGAAAAGGCACCGAAGAACTTCAAACTACTGTTGTTCACCCAAGAAATTGGTTTGATCTAAATGAAAAAGTTAACTCATAAAATGGGACAACCCATGACTAAAACCCTCATCAATAAATAATTTGAACAGAACTTATATAAAATTTCAAGATAAAAGAGAGAAAACAAACACACATACAGAATGCATGTGCTCACACACACACACACACACACTTACCTGTGTACCCCAGTCACCAACATGGTTTCTCCGAAGAACCTCAGCATTTGAAAACTCTAGCATACGGGCTAGGGTGTCTCCAATAATTGTAGATCTCAAGTGCCCGACATGCATTTCTTTAGCAATGTTGGGTGAGGAAAAGTCAACCACTGCCCTTTTGACTGTAAGTTTCGGCAACCATGTTTCAATACCATTTATTAGCATCTTTTGGATATATATACAGGAGATTTATATACATCATTATATGTGATATCACATACTATTTTTTTTTATTACTAAAACAACTACATACCTATGTGATTTTTGCAAAATGAAACGATTTAACATTCTAAACATTAGCCAATATCTTTAAATCAAGTAAGTTATTCCTCACCGAGGGAGTTATTTTTTCAGCAAAAGGAAAATTTTGACACCTAACTAGTTGGGCTATATATGGCTTTGTTGTATTGAGATAAAATTATACCTTGATGTGGGCAGTGTCGTTGGATGTAATTGTACTACCAATGGAGAGCTGTACCTTTCCAACACATTCGTGATCATCATGGTAAATTTACCACCACCAAATTCTATCATTCTGCATGGTTTGGATTACCAGATCATGTAACTTGCCAAATCAAATTAAAAAAGGCTCGATTATCAGAATATAAATAGATGATACATACAGGATTTTCAGTCAATGATGCAATTGGAATTATTGCTCGACCATGGATAGTTTTCTTGGCATCCTGGACTTCGAGTAAAAGAACATCACCTTGGTTCTTTGGGAAACTGAAATTCATGCACATAGTAAGATTTTTTTTAATGTTAATGGTAAACATAACCGAGTATCATTGAACAAATGCAATCCCAAGGGTTCACTAGAAAACATTATACGAGTATGCCTAGTATACATCTTAATGTCAAAGACCATCAAAATCACTACAATTCAAGCTGCTAACAACAACTAGCCAACATGGTTCAACTTGAGTGCCTTCTAACTCTTTGGGTTGGTGGGTAAGCACGACACTGACCAACCTGTAATCCTTGCATAAAATACAACTGAATACAAAAGATCGTACTCGCAACTAGTTTCTACTACTACAATGTGGATTCCATCTTCCTTTTAGTCCATCATTCAAACAATTTTTTCTACTAAATTAGGAGCTTTTACAATAATAAAACAAATCAAAATACAATTCACTTTATTTTGACTATAAAGAGTCACTTTATAATATTAGTAACAAGAATTCACAGAATTTTTTGACTTAGAAATCAGTGCTTTGAAAGAGAAGAACCACCATCCATAAATAAGATACTTACAACACATGATAATCGCCAATTCCAGGCCTCAAGCAAATAGCAGAATCTTGTTCATCTTGAGTATCTTCTGTAGAACTCTTCAGGTGAAATAGGCATGACAGCCGCTCTGCAAACATGACAGGAATTTCTAATCATCTAACTGATTCAATACATATGGGAAACCAACACTCAATACACACACAGTTAAAATCAAATGTGTAAATGAGAAGAGAAGAATGCATGTGAAGTGGGAATAGCCTTCAAAGAATACTGCCTACAAACATTTCTCTTCTCCTATTGTCCTCAGATGTCCAAGGGTTTGCGTCTAGGAATTTAAATAGAGGCCTACATTGAAAATTTTACTGATTCTACTATCTTTCTTGGTATCTAGGTTCCTAAACTAGTCATGATTATTTAATCCTTTTTAAAGTAATCTTGATTTTCTATGTGTGATCGATAAAAACTAGATAGATAAAGAAAGTAAAGCAAAGATTAAAAATAGATCAATGTGTCAAGAACGGCAAACCTTCAGATGTCACCGACAAGGGCGGGTGCCGAGGGGGAAATAGAGGAGCCATTGGAAAGGGGTTTTGGAGCTAGCCCAGAACCAGCGGGTGTCGCAAATCTCAGAGGCGGAGGAGAAGAGGAGGTTGATGAGCTACAGTGGCGATGTTCGACGGTGGAAGATTGACGGGCACTAGTCGTGTGCAATGCTGAGATGAGGGGCTGTGGTGATTGATTCTCTGTGTGACAGAGAGAGACAGAGGGAGAGCAAGAGAGAAAGAACCGTGTGAAGAAGTAACAGATTTGGGCAAAAATTTAGGCGCTAATATGAAATATTTCCCAGTAAAATTTTGAACACATCTGCGACTAAATTTTAGTCGTTGAAGATAGGTTAAAAAAATTTTAAAAAAAATTATTTGGCCACTAAAATAATTTTTTGTCACTGAAAGTAAGTTTTTGGCAACTAAAACTTTAGTCACCAAAGAGAAAAAATAAATTTTTTATTTTCTATTCGGCGACTAAATATTTTAGTAGCCAAAAGTCAACATACGTCGACTAATTTTTTTTTTGTCTCTAAAAGTAAGTTTTTGGCGACTAAAACTTTAGTCGCCAAAGAGAAAAAATAAATTTTTTATTGCCCATTCGGCGACTAAATATTTTAGCAGCCAAAAGTCAATATACAGTGACAGTTTTTTTTTTGTCACCAATTCTGGCATTTTTAGCGACTAAATTTTTTTTTAGTCACCAATAATGACTATACTCCGACTAAAAAAATTAGTAGCTAAATATTTTACTTTTGGCAACAAAAAAAAATGTTGGTTGCCAATTCCATAACTTTTGGCGACTAAATTTTTTTTAGTCGCCAAAGGTGCATTTTGTTGTAGTGTGATAAATGAATTTCATCATTTGATCACGTGGTAATATCACATAATATACTAATGTTCTATGCAACGAATACAACTGTCATCTATGTTCAAAAATTTGTTCCAAAAAAAATATCTATGTTCATAAATGTAATGTATATTTCAACTCTTTTTTCAATTTATCGGTTAAATTTTTGTCTCATTAAAATGGCAAAAGAGAGGGGTAGGCCGGAAAAATTTCACAGGTAGTCTTGTCCATACTATTTCTAAGTCCATCATGAACTTCCATAACCATCTACATTGGGAAAGCTCAAAATATATTGGGAACTCTAACGGTGCACACAGTGTGTACCATTGACACTCTATTACGCATTTTCCTGATGGGTTGGACTTCTCTTATGTTAGGATCTCAACATGAAAGAACTTGAAGGATCTGTAGAGTCAACCATAAGTCTCGTTTCGATAATCCGAACTGTTCACGTTTTAGGACTCGTTGAGTAGAATATTCATGCAAAAAATTAAGATGATCGAATATCAGTAACTATATATTTGAATCAAATTTATATTACAAAAAATAAAAGATTATTCTTGAAATTATATTTGTAACAAATATGATTCAAATATATAGCTACCAACATCCAATCATCTTGATTTTTTGTATGAATATTCTACTTAACAAGTCCTAAAAAGTGAATGGTTCGGATCATCGGAATCGATTCCAAAATAGGCCTACCAAACTTAAACACTCTCTCAAGTTGAGATGACAATTTGAAAGAAACCAAATCCTTTCCTGATATATGTTAGAGCGACCTTATTTAGGAAAACAAAATCAAATGTTCGTTGCTGAGAAGTGTATCAAGTTTATTTAAAGCTCATTGCTATAAATTAATCATCTTTATGCTAACAATTGCTTTTAACTTTTATAATAAAAAACTTAAGCCTTGTCTTGAATGGATGTTCCAAAACAGTACTGAATTGTTTTGATTGCCTTTTGAATCTCAAAATGAGTAAATAGAATGATTTCAATTCTAATTAATGCCAAGCTTGTTTAGCAATAAGTAGTAACTAACAAAACAACATCTTAGAAAAGAAGCTACGTTGCGAGTAAAATTGAGTTAATTTTATTGGGAAATGCTCTGGTGTGCAATGCACAACGTAATTTTGTGTAGGATTACATACGTATTGCACACCGAATTTTTTTTTCCTTTTTATCATTTGATTTTAACATTTTATTTATTACGAAAATGGGTTAGGATAATTTTCTTATTAGATTTTGAAAATTGAATGATTTTACATATTGATTAAATCATTTTAACACTGGATTTTGGAATCAGGTTGATTCTGCTTCTTTATTTTGTAAATTCATTTTTTTCAAAAGTGAGATTTATTAGAAAATCCTATTTTAAGTATTTGTATCCCAATTAGTTCATATGATATTCTTATATTTCAATAAGTCTTATTATTTGAACATTTGATCTATCAAATCCTAATTCTCATAGTCGAAGTATTTAATGGACATTTTTACCCTTACAATATTTTTTGAACGGTTAGTAATTTGGTGATGTGAACATTCATATTTTACAATGTAAATATTCACATTGACGTGTGAATATTCACATTGACAGTGTGAACAATCACATTGACATGTTAACATTTACACTACTAGTGTGAACATTCACATTGACAATATGAACATTCACAATGACAGTGAACATTCACATCACGAAACATTCATACTATAAATGTGAATATTATTAGGGGTATTTTGGTAATTATGTCACTCATAGGACTTATTGAAATATAATAAAATAATGTGGATTAAATAGAACATGAGTAGGTAAAAATGGATTTATGAAAAAATGTCCCTTTTTAAAATATGTTAATCTTATCATTTGTTTGTTGATTTTCCAGTTGCTTTTGAAAATGGTTTTATTTTGTTGCTTATAAGGTAAAATAAAAAATAAAAAAAATTTGAAGGTAAAATAGTGCTTGTTATGAGACAAAAAGGTATATGCCATGTATTTGGTGTGTTATTGATTATGAAGTACATGGTAGTTGATTATGATTTATAATGGTGATTGTTAAGAAGTAAATTGGTGTTATTAGAACCACGAACAAAATTAGGATTTTGACTTGAAGGATTAACTTTTCACTTTTCTGCTTTACAGATTAATCCGATACATATTTTTCCTCAATGATATTATTTCTTCCCGAGTCGTCTAAAGTCTCATTGAAAGAGATTTCAATCGTAATTGATGTTTAAATTTATCACGTTGCCCATTATTATTTTTGACACTTATCATCAGGTATTTTTTCTTAGGCCTAAAATTTATAGAATTCATGTGCTCTTTTTATCATAAGTATGTCCACTTGTTAGATTGGGGTTCATTAAGTCCAAGTTATAAATTATTTGAGCCCTGTTAGGGTATCTCCAACAGTGCGTTATTTTTTTACTTAATTTGAATAAAAATTTATATAAAAACTCTCTTTGATATCGCCTGCTCCAACTTAAGAATTTGACTTTTTCATCAAATCATCGGTTGATTAGGCGGTCGACCGGCCAATGTAAAATTTTTACAAATTGAGGAGTCATCTAGGGGTCGACCTTCCAGTATAAAATTTTCACAAAATTTTGCCTTTGAGGTGGTCATCCGGGAGACATTCGGTGTGATTTGATGAAAGGCACAAAGCATCCTCAATTTGGTAAAACATTTGTCATATTCTCAATTTGATACAGGTTTGATAAAATCATTGGAGCACAAAAAAAGTGACTTTTTCATCAAATTTAAATTTGGTGATGGATTTGATGTAGTGTTGGAGATGGCCTTAACGATTTATAATTCAGAGTCATTCTCTCTCCTCTCTTTGTTCTCTATTGTTGCGTTGCCCCAAATCGTCATAGATTTTAGAGTTAATTAACTAAAAGTCGTATTTGCAAATATTGTAATAGTTTAAATCCTATATAAGAATTTTTAAACCAATAAGTCTTATTTAATAACATTGAGAATATTATCAGTTTTTTTCCAATTTTTAAAACATTATCAATTTTAAATGGTAATGTTCCAAATAATTGCTTCGCTAACTGATAAAAAAAACATGAGATTAAACGTTTTTGCCCTTCTACTTATTGATTTGATTTAACTATCCAATAAAACTAAGAGCATTATCAGTTTTTTCCAGTTTTAAAACTGAGAACATAATCATTTTTTTTTTCAATTTTGTACATCAATGTTTCATCATCATGCTCCTTTATAGACACAAAATTTTCAGTTTTGCACAAAATAATAATTCAATTTTTAATTTTTTTTTTTAAAAAAAACGAATCAATGTGTTTGGTTTCAATTTTCTGAATTCAGTTTTTTGAAAATTGAGTTTTTTATTTTTCGTGTTTTTTTTTAGTGAATATTTTTAAAATTTTAAGCAATATTTTTTTTTACTTTTTTATATGTAACTTACTTAGATGTATCAAAATAGTAAATTATTTGTCAAAAAATATTTCTTAAAATTAATAAATACACAAAAATACGAAAAATGTACTAAATTTATATATATATATTTTTTATTTTTGGTATTTTGTGAATTTTTTTTTAAAAAATCACAAATATTATACTTTCTAAGTGTATTTATGTTAGGTGTGTCTAAAAAAAATGCTTAAAATATTAAAAAAATTCAATGAAAACAAAAAAATACGGAAAACAAAAAAGTAGAATTTTCTAAAAAGTGAATTTTGAAAACTAGAAACAAATCGAGTGATAACGTTTTTTTTTTTTTTTTACTTTTTTCAATTTGAAAGTTGATGTTTTAAAGTTTTAAAAATCAAAATAAATATCAAATAATCATGTTCCTTTATAGATAATCATATAAATGATAAACAATCATTGTTTGAAAGGAAATTCCGACTATTAAAAATTTAATGAGACTTGAAGGTCTAAAAAATCTTAATTAAGACTTAATGAAGTATAAATTCATAAATTATGATTTGTGTGTAAATATTCCTCGATTTTACATGTGCATCACGTTATTACTCCCTCTCTCATCAAACTACACATAATGATTCACTTAATTAAGGTTTTTATCAACAATAGTGTTACATGCATTAATTGATATATTAATTAATATATTAACATAGGTTATGATATTGTTATTTCAAAACTATAAATTTTATCCATTATACAAATTATAAATATCTAAAATTTCAAAAATTATATCACATCATCCGTTAATACACTAACTAATATACCAATTAATATGTATAACTTCATTCTGACACCAATTAGGGTTCC